GCAGGTGGAGAGAATAAATAGAAGGAGAAGAAGAGAAGAAGGGGAGAGAAAAAGGAGAAGGCTAGGAGGCTGTGAGGGGCCAGCCACACAGCCACACAGCCACACAGCCACACAGCCACACAGCCACACAGCCAACTACAGAGTAAGAAGTAAAGAAAGGTATATAGAATGGAGAAAGGTAAAAGTCCAGAGGCAAAAAGGGATAAGTTAAGAAAAGCTGGCCAGAAACAAGCCAAGCTAAGGCCAGACATTCATAAGAAAGAATAAGTTTCTGTGTGATTACTGGGGAGCTGGGTGGCAGATCCCTCACAGAGCCAAAAGAGTTAAAAAAAACAACAACCCAAAAATAGAAAACCAACAACAGAGGGGTTGAACTTGAAAGGTTTTAGAGGAGGCAGCCGCCAGGATCCATGAGAGTGGGAGTAGAAGCCAGAGGGATCTGTCCTTCACTCTCACTCCATCAGATTATCCTAAGGGGCTGGCTCAAGAGGAAATGCACAGATGCCCAGACCATTTGTTAAAGGAAATGACACATTATCCTTTCCCCCACATCTGGTAATTTCTGAAAGACAATCAAGCCCTGATGATGTTGCCGGCTCCTTGGAAGCTTGTGTCTTCTCTCCCAAGGGAGGTGGGGGGAGAGCGAACCAAGGCGGGCAGAGTCTATTTTCAGTGGTCAGCCATGGGGATGCCTTGTGGAGAGGGCAAAGGGTCAGCGGCAATACAGTCCTATTCTGGGACAGAGACACAAGCTTCCTTCCTGTCCAGCTCAACAACAGTCTCTGTCAAGTTGGAATCTTTCACGGAGGGCTGAAAAGATCTGAGAATGGGTTGGGGTGGCCGGGTTCAGGACAGACAGACACACTGAGTGGGGAGGAGACGTTCGTCAGGGTGCTGCGTGTTGAAGTTGCAGGGAAGCTGAGACCGATGGGAAAGACGGAATGACTGTCACAGTGTAGAGAGATAGCACAGGGGACTTAGTGCACCCGGCTGACACTTTTATTTTTCCTGTGGTGCCTGGGACAGAACTCAGGGCTTCCTATGTGCCGGGCGAGGACTCTGCCGCTGAGTCATACATACCCCAACCCAAATCAACTTTTTCCTTCAATCCTCAGGCATCTGCACAGTGCTAAATGCAATGTGAAGAGAGAACAGGAAATATGTGAATGGGGTGCCCAGCTAATGGAACCAGAGGGCTGGCCCAGGTTAATGGACTCTGTATAAGTCACATGAAATGCCCTGAAGCTTAGCTGGAGGTCAGAGGGATGTGTGTCTCTGCGTTTCTTCACTGACACCATCCAGCAACCAGAGCAAGGTTTAATTGAGGGCTGAGAAAAGAAAACCTTGCTCTTCTTAAATGAGCAGAGGGCCTCCTGGATTGGGGAGGGATCGCCAAGGGGCAGACGGGGCACCTCAGCCTTTGGATCTAAGGGCATTTGTTGGACCAGGTCTTTGTTTTGTTCCGGCCAGGCACTCTGGTGAAGGCATCCTGGGAATTTGGCCTGCAAACAGAAAGGGCATTTCCTTGTGTGGATTTCCTGTTTAGGTCTGTGTAGAAACCCAAAGGCTGGCCGGCCTCATAAATCCCCTAGACATTACTGGTGTGGACACTCTGGCTGGATGCCATGGGAACACTGCCCAAAAATAGAAAGGAGAGAGACACATTCACGCTCTGAATGTCGGGTGGGCTTCAGGCTCCCTGTTTGCCAGTCCGAGACAGAGGGGGTTGGACTAGAGGAGATGAGCAGCAGGCACTCTCCAGCTTTGAAGTTCTCAGATTCCATTTCCTTCTTGAGGGTCACGGGGCAACTCCATCATGGGAGGCACCTGAAAATTTACCAAAGAAAAGCATGATAAAAGTCACCTGAAGCAACAGGAAATTGCCCTACATGTCTTTTTGAAGGTATTTTTGAACTCTGGTATTTCTCAGACTTTCCTAGACACTTAGGGTATTCCACAAAGGACAACCCCCAGCCTGAGGGGAGTACTGTGTACTCTTGCGGCTAGGTTTTGACCTAGCAAGGTGATGAATGAGGTATTTGTTGAGGAGACATGGCCCATTTCAGGGATCCTCCCCTCTTCCTGTTTTCTCTCATTTTCTACATATGTTCAAATTACAGTTTGGCTTTTAGAGTTGTTGCCTTGATGGAAGAAGCCATGTTTTCATACGTACTCTGTGGCTGAACGCAGATTCGGAGGCGGACTCCACTTGGAGACTGATCAATTGAGAAAGAGACGGGGCCAGTGCTACTTACTGTTAGATTGTCAGTGCCCCTCAAAGAACTAGGTGTTAAAGGCTTGCTCCCCAGTTTCTGGGGCTATCGGGAGGCAGTGGAGCCTTCAAAAGATGGGCAATGTGAGGAAGTGGGTCCCTATCGATTGTGAGACCCTGGCAACACCCTTTTTCTCTTTGGCTTTCTAGTAATTAACTCTGTCTTACATTCCGGCCACAGTGAGTGACCTTCATTCAGGCCCCAAGCACTGGGGCCAACCAACCTCTGAAACCTTGAACCAAAATCATTGTTTTTTTTTTTTTTTTTTTTTTTTTTTAATTGATTGATCTCAAGCTTTTGTCATAGTGATGAAAAACTGCCCAGCACCGGCAGGAGAGGGATTTCTCCTGGAAGTGTTGTGGTCCCTTGAGGATCTTCTCTCGTGGTCCTGATGATACTGCTTTCTTCATTTATTTTCTTCATTTATCCTCATTTGCGCCCCTTAAAAAAATTGCGATAACTAGCCAGGTGGTGGTGACACATGCCTTTAACCCCAGCACTCGGGAGGCAGAACTAGGCAGATCTCTGTGAGTTTGAAGCCAGCCTGGTCTACAGAGTGAGCTCCAGGAAAGGCGCAAAGCTACACAGAGAAATCCTGTCACAAAAAAAACCAAAAACAAAACAAAACAAACAAAAAAAACCCCAAAAATCAAAAACCAAAAAAAGTCATAGCTATCATTTCATTACGGGGAGGTGCTCAAGTGATACTGATACTGGACCACGTTAAGCTAATCACCGTCAGTCTGTGATTAATTGGATTTTCTACTTAAACAAGAGCAGATCCATTATACAGCAACATTTCCCAAGACAAGACAGATCACAGAAATCAGCAGCGATATATTCTCAGTTCTCTCAGGTACAAATCTGTCTATGAGCTGCAGGCCCTCAGACCTGTTCTCGAAGGGCCAATGTAGCAGCAAAGGAGACTTGCTTCCAGGGTCCCATTCTTGACATATCAGTTGGAATTATCATTATTATTATTATTATTATTATTATTATTTGTTTTTTAAAGACAGGGTTTCTTTGTGTAACCTCGACTGTCCTGGAACTCACTCTGTAGACCAGGCTGGCCTCAAACTCACAGAAATCTCCCAGGCATGAGCCATCACTGCCTGACATGGGTCGGAATTTTTGGTAGCAACCGTGTAAATCTCAAGTGGGAAGTGGATTTACTAGAGAAATGTTATTTTGCTCTCAGAACCCATGGGAAGGCCGGGGGACCAGCTGATACAAGTAAATGACTGGAGGTTTCCAAGGCAGTTCCGTGGGGAAAGGCGCTGGCCGCCATGCCTGACAACACAGGCAGATTTTGGAACCCACATGGCAGGAGATAACTGACTCCTATATTGTCCTCTGACCTCCACACATGTGCATGCACACACAATAAATGTTCTCATTTTCATTTTTAACGAAAAAGACGATAAATGATCCGAGAACAATGGGGCCACCGAGATGCTGCCACCAGGGCTGTCACTGCTGGACCTTGGCCATCATGTTGCTGGTTTCTGGCACCCCGTAAATTCATCCCAAAGCTGCCTGATGGACAGTTCCTCTGACACAGCCACCACAGATGACTTCTGCCTCCCCAGGGGCATCATATCCCACCCAGCAGGGCCTCCGGCCAGCTGAGCACCAGCGATGCGCTGGTTTCTGAGTTTCTGGGCAAGAGGAAAGCTCTAGGCCCTCTTTGCCTTCTAGAGTGGTAATGGAGTCCTACTTCTCCTTTTCTGGGTCTTCCTTACAAAGAAGAAGGACCTTTAAAGACTGGGTGGCCAAGAATGACCAGTGTGCATATTTACGTACCGCAGTCTCCCAGTACCCACACTTTCAGTTACTTGTGGTCAACCACAATCCAAAAATAGAAAGTGGAAAATCCTAGAAATAAACAGTTCATATATTCTAAGTAAACCTTTTTATGATACATCATTATATTCTGTTTCACTATTACGTATTATTGCTATTTATTATATTATATTCTGTTCCTAACAAACTTTATCATATATATATATATATATGTATATATATATATATATATTTGTGTGTGTGTGTGTGTGATCCAGTGGTACCTGTGGTTTAGGTATCACTTAAAGAGCAGTCACATGGCAAGGCAGAGCACCTTCAAAGGCAGACTTGTGTGTTAATGCACCTTCAAAGTAGCCTTTTCCTTATTTTCAGCTAAACTTCATGGTGCAAGCTGAGCATGCCCAGAAGCATTCCTGTCCATCACTTTAATCTCTAAGATTGTAAACTGAACATGCTTAGGAATGGAACGGACCCATCCCTGTATGAGTATGTATAGGTTCTCTCCCACACTTTGCTTGCCTGCTGCGGGTTATACATCTCTGTTTGCACAGTTACGTCTTAGTTATGCTTATGTCAGTTTTGGACTCACCAAGACGTGGATTCATCATGTTTGGCTACACAAGAGCTTGGAAAGGCAGGGCCCAAAGCAGACCAACTGTGTTCAGCAGTGGACCTCCTCTGAAAAGTGATACATGGTGTGGCTTCTCTTCAATCCCCATTGCTCATGTGGAAAAGACTCCATTTTTATGTGGTTGAAAATGCACTCTTTGGAAGAACTGACCTTGCTTAATGAAAATCATACTGAACTATAAACTAAGAATTGCTTTGTTGTTGTTGTTGTTGTTGTTTAGAACAGCTAGAAGGCCAGTTTGTCAGCCACATGGACTGCTGACCAAGGGAAATGAAGGAGTAACAGAGTGCTTGGAAGGTTGTTTTTTCTTCCTTTAATGAATGCAGAGTTTAGAGAAGCCCAATAAATAGACTGGCACTGCCCCAGGGAAGGGTCTGTAAGTGCAGGGAAGGGAAAGGCGTGGAAAATGTAAACATGGATCTTTTTATTGACTTCCTTCTTTGGGAACATATCTTTTGCTTGTAAATGTCCAAACACTGTGGTAGAGTCCAGAGACCCAAAAATGAAGTTCAAGGACAAACTTGGTATTACTGTGGTCCCGGCTGGATTCATAGACACCAAATATAGATGCAAACCTAGTCTGTGCCACTGGGAACTAGCGGGTTGGCCACTTGAGAGTGGAATCTTAGGTGTGGAACTGCAAGCTGGTGGTTACTGCGTGAGAAAAAAACCCTTTGTTTTGGACTGGATCAGGATCCATTCACCTCAGGGTGAGGTATAATTTGAGAGTTTTGGGACCCTGGCTTTATGTAATTTCAGTATTATAATAACTTTTAAAAAATATTGATCTGCAGTTTTCATGGTTGTTTTGGGCCTTTTGAGGATCGTCAGTATATTCATAGAGGAGGGGGGTTTCCTCCCCTCTCTCCTTCCCTTCATTCCGTAGATTCACAGTGTAGCCCAGGCTGGCCTTCCTGGCACCACCCTCTTGTCTCAGCTCCTCAGTGCATCATCACACCCAGCAGGAAATGGATTCTGAGCCTAGGTCATTAGATTCTTCAGTTAGGGGCCAGGAATATGCTTCCCAGAAATGAAAACAAGAAACCAAATCAGGGGCTGGAGAGAGAGTGCAGTGGTGAAGAGCACAGGCTACCCTTGTAGAGGACCTGGGTTCAAGTCCCAGCACCCACATGGCAGCTCACAACTGTCTGTAATTCCAGTTCCAGGGGATCTGGCACCCTCACACAGACATACATGCAGGCAAAACACCAATGTACATGTTTAAAAAAAAAAAAGCGAAAATAAGAAACCAAATCAAGTCTATGTCTTTGGGTCTGACATATTCCTACAGGGTTGATGTGGGTTCTTGTTTATTCTAGGAGTACAAGTTAGAAGCAGAAGATTGGGTCTAAGCATGGAGGCGATTCTGTACTATAGTTTGGCTGTGTGCAGGAGGCCAGCCACCTGGGCCTGAATCCTCACTGCAGCCGAATTTCGTTGACCAGACAAGGCTTAATGACCATTGTGACAGAACGTCCAGGTTATAACTGAAAAACCACTAAGGACTCAAGGGATCTCCTGGAATAGGAGGCCGTTGATTCCCAGGAAAGTTGAGATAAACTTCATGGCGCCTCTCCTGAACTTTGTATCTTTGTGAGGAAATCTCTGAAGGGACTGAGGCATGAGGGTGGGAACAATGTGGAGGGGACTTTTCTGTATGACACAGTGGGGACACTTGGTAGGTAAAGCAGACTATAATTTTTAGTGTCATTGCATCTTTGGCTGTGACTAGCCCATGAGTAAAGAGCATATGTTCTCAAGAAAAGTTAGATTGCAGGATGAGAAGTTTACCTTCTACAGCCCAAGTAGACCCTTAATGCGGTCCCATTTGTCTAGAGCGGTGATTTTCAACTTGTGGGTCATGACCCATTTAGGAGGGTCACATATCAGATCTCTTGATTATCAGATATTTACATTACAATTCATAATAGTAGCAAAATTACAGTTATGAAGTAGCAACGAAATAACTTTATGGTTGGGGTCACCACAACATGAGGAACTGTATTAAAGGGTCACAGCATTAGGAAGGTCGAGAACCACTGCTCTAGAGGGGCATGTGACTCAGAAGATGGCAAGACAAAATGATCAGGGAAACAGATTGTATGAATGTGGCCACATGCTGAGGACAGCTGTGGGTACCGGGAGCTGCAAAGAGGCCAAGGATGTTGCCTGCTGGTCCCTTGATCTTGGCCTAGTAAAGCAAAAGTAGTTTCAGATCTTTGAATGCTTGAGAGAATAAATTCATTGTTAACCGCTTGTTACAGCAGCTATAGGGAACATTAAGAGATGAAATAAAAAGATGGCTCCCCATGACAGGACGCTAAGAGCTCCCAAGCAGGCTGTTTCTTCCTTCCTTCCTTCCTTCTTTTTTTCTTTTGGAGACAGGATCTCACTATATAGCCAAGGCAGGCTTCCATCTTGCAGTCCTCCTGCCCCAGCCTCCAGAGACAGATGTGTACCACAGTGCCTGATCCCAAGAGAATAGTTCTACTGTGCTGTTTAGTCCTCAGCTCTAGGCCAGCACATGTATAGAAGAGGGGGTAGGGGAAAGGACTTTGTGATAACATCGACTTTCACACACTGAGATGGGACCTGTAGTGAGTGCTGACTATTATTATTATTATTATTATTATTATTATTATTATTATTATTATTGGTTTTTTGAAACAAGGTTTCTCTGTGTAACAGTCCTGGCTGTCCCGGAACTCACTTTGTAGATCAGGCTGGCCTCGAACTCACAGAGATCCACCTGGCTCTGCCTCCTGAGTGCTGGGATTATTATTTTTTTTAAAGGTGAACACAATCAAATGAAAGCCCCAGCATCTTTATCCTTGGTGTAGGGACCACATTCTAGCCTGTGCCTGTCATTTTTAAAAATTATATGTATTTATTTATGTGTGGGAGTGGGGTATAGATGTTATGTCAGAGAACAACTTACAGAACTTAATTTTTTTCTCTTTCTGCCACATGGATCTTAGAGATCAAACTGATGTTTTTAGGCTTGGGGACAGGTACCTCCAGTTTATGTTCCATTTCCCTAGCTCTCTACCTTATTATTTATTTATTTGTTTATTTAGAGATGGAGCCTCTCCCTGAACCCTGAACTCCTTGATTCAGTTAAAACCAGCTGGTCAGCAAGCCCCAGAGATCCTCTGGTCTCTGCTCAGAGTTGTGTGAGCCACCGTACTCCTGCTTTATACATGGAGGTTGGGGGATTTGAACCTGGGTCTTCATGCTTGTGCTGCAAACCCTTTACCAACTGAACCATATCCCCAGCTTTGGAAATAACCTTTTCATGCTCATGGCCTCAGCATTCATATAGTTCCTGACATACCAAAGGATGGGTTATGGACTGTGGTTCTTTTTTAAGCTTGAGAGTTCTTTTAAGCAAATTTAAATGGTAGGTTTAGCAGATGGTGCCCTGGCTCAGCTCTCCTAGACATGGGTCAGGTCACTGCTCTGGGGCACAGATTTTACAGCCTGGGGTTTTCTAGAATCATGGCCATAGAAGTCATGGCCATTTGCGCTTCCAAATTCTGATTGTCCCTCTGAAGATACGTTTTCTTTCTTCTGTAGGGCATCCTCCCACCATGGCGTTCTGACCCAACTCTAGGAGGCATCGTCTGTCAAAGAAATGAGAGGAGAGCTTTGTGAAGCCAGGGTGTGGTACCGATCGCAAGTACTGATCGTGACTGGAGCAGATGGCCTAAAATGAAGTTTGGTTGTATAGGAATTTAAAAGAAAAGGACATTTCCTTTTCTCAACATAGACTCTTCTACTAATTTTTGTGGCATTGCTATGTCCTTAAAACATCAAACATGATAGCCACATTATACTCAGCAGTATCTTAGGCAACAGCCACATGTGTAAACTACAGACGATGATACCATCGATGACTCAATATAATTACAGCCTTGCTCCTAAACCCCGTCTTTCTATGCATCCAAAGCACACGATAGACATTATTGAGTTGCTTTGCTCTCCAGTTTTGTCGGTTAGGTAGGGAGCAGGCATCGCTATTGTCTTTATCTCACACAGAGAAAGCTTTCCTGGGAGTGAGCTGTCCAGAGCCCCATTGGCAATAAGAGCCACTGGAAAGGAAATGGCTGGAGCCTTAATTTAAAAGACAGGACTTCCTGTAGCGGCAACTCCAGGTCCCCGTGATGGAATATTTCTAACTTCAGGCATCCTCGGAGCAAGAGGGCACAGAGGGCTCATTATTTTCCTCCATCTGTGGATGTACAGGAAGGACTTGAGTTCAAGATAACTTAATGAACTCACTTCAGCGGTGTGCACTGTTGTCTACAGGGGTATTCAGTATGTCCTTTCTTTTCTTTCTTTCCAAGATGGCAGAGGCATTACGAACACAGCTCCACAAAGGAGGATCCACGGCAGAATCTGGAATACAAATGGGATGCTATAGGAATTTGGTGTTTTTTTTTTTGTTTTTGTTTGTTTGTTTGTTTGTTTGTTTGTTTCCCTTGTATTAGAAGTGATTTCAAGGCAAGGATGTAGCTCATGGGAACAATGCTTGCCTAGGATGTGTGAGGTCCTGGATCTGACTCCAGCCCCCTCCCCACAAATAAATAAAATAAAATAAAGAAAAGGAGCAGTTATTCTATACTGCTGCAAACTTAAGGAGTTGTAAGGTCCGAGGTTCAAGAACTACCTTTGACAGTTATGTGATTTGGAGAAAGTTTTGTGGGTGCTTTAGTTTCATGGTTTGGCAATTCAGGGGATGGTATGTAGGGTCTTGTCCACTCCAGGCAGGTGCTCACTCCCCAAGCTGCACCCCAGTCCATTTTTAAAAGTTCATCAACCTCTCTGGATTTCACCTTTTCTTCTTTTAAATTGATTTTTATTTACTAAAAGCTTTTCCTTTTTGAAACAAAGTCTCATTTATCCGAGGCTGGCCTTGAACTCACTAGCTATCCAAGGACAACACTGAACTTCTGATCCTTTGCCTTTGCCTCCCTGGTGATGGGCTTATTATAGGTGTGCACCACCATGTGTGGTTTGTGGAGTGCCACCGTTCAAACCTAGGGCTTCCTACACGCTAGGCAAACACTCCACCAATTGAGCCACATTCCTGGTCCCTATTTTCATTTGTTGAAGGTCATAAAAACTGATCTATAACATTGTGCATATTCATGCGCTGCTTTGATGCGCATGTTGGGTAATGCGCAAGTGAGAGCGACCATTGTTTTCTCCTTTCTTATTTCCTTGTCAGGAAAATATACAATGTATCTTCTTCTATCTTTTTGTTGTTCTTAATGTTGTTGTTAAGACTGAGTCTCACTCTGCAGCCCACCCCGGCTTCAAACTTACAACAATTCTCCTGCCTCGGCTCAAGTCTGAGGTATTACTCCCAGCACCTCTTTTAAAATGAGAAATTCCTCTTTTAAAATAAGGAATATTATGGTTATCTTTGGTCACCTTGCTGTGTGACAGCACACTTACTTATCCTGTCTAGCTTAATACTTACTGACTGGCCTTTTCTCATTCCCCTGCCTCATTTTTCTTGTCTGTGCAATGGATACAGTATTTCCTTATCCAATGGCTATGATGATAAAAGGAGACTATATATGTAAAATGCTTTCTCAATAGTAAAATACCATAAAAACAAGATATGATGTATACTGAACTACCAAAACCACATGCTCTAATATAGGTTGTATTTTCTGTCTGGGATGCCTATTCTTTTTTTTTTTTAATTTAGAAATTTATTCTGTTTAATCCACAAGCTTTATATAGCTTTAGTTAAAAAATAAAATAAAATAAAACAAGTGAAACCAAGACACTATGTCCAAGTCCAGGACACCCCGCCCCCCCCAGCCTGCCAATGCAAGAGCTCTTCAGTTGTGTGAACCAATTCGAAGAGTAAGGAAAAAAATATGGAATGGAGCCACGAAGTTTCATAAAACAAATTTATCTAACTGAAGGGTCCTTGCTGGGTCAGATACATTGCCTTTACAAAAGAGGGGGGGGGGACAAAACAAACCAACCCAAAGAGGACAAAATCCCAGTTCTAAATCAACTTATGCGCCTGTCACGCACAGACAGACTCTCCGTGGGATGCCCACTTCTAACGCGCTATCAGTACAAAGAACATTTCTTTAACTCTGTAAATTATTACTTCCTTGAGCAATTAGCAGAAGAGAAACCGAAGTGGGACAAGGAGACCTGGGGCTGCTGGTGTATCGCAGTTTCAGGACTGGGAGTACAGAGGGCGTCTAGGTGGCGGAAGTCAAGGTTGTATATACTCTGTAGAAAGCAGGCAGTGTGGAAAACTGCTTCCCCGTGCCTTCTGGAACGCCGGCCCCTTTGTCCAGAAACTTCGAGGTAAAGAATTCCATAGGCAGCATTTGTGTTATTAATCGTAGCTAGAACTTAGTTGCAGGTAAGCCAGATTCTGCTGGGCAGTGTTACTGCTTCTTCAACTAAGACGTGTACATACTTAAACCCAGGATCAAGCCCACAGGATTTGAACTCCTAACCTTTAAAACATAGGCAGCTCCTTTGGCTACCCGGCGAACCGATTGGTTCCTGTTTGCCAGGATTGGAGTTCTTAGGTAGACAGAGCCCCACTGATTCCACGGCCCCCACAGACTAACACCGAGAAGCCCAAAGGCCTATCCATTTTAGATTTCTGGAGCTCTGACGCCGTCCCTTACCTCCCCGCCACAGTTCCAGGCTTGCAGCGTCCCGGGTAAATCACACTGGAACGCACAGGCCTCCATCTTGCTGTAAGGACACGTTGGGCTGCGAGGAGAAGGAGGGCCATTTTCTTGGACATTCCTCTAGAACTAGAACACTTGTAGTAGGTTTTTGGTTTCGTTTTTGGTTCATAAAGCTCTCCCAAAGAGAGCAGGACTGCTGTTGTCTCTGGGGGGCAGAGCCTCGGCCACATGGGCTGTCTGTCCAGGGGTGGTAATTAAAACCAAAACCCTTTTTTTCTGGCACGTGTTAACTTTTCTCCAAGCAGTCAGAATTGGACTGCACCCCCCTCTCTGAAGTGATTTAATGATCACATCAGAAGAACAAGTCTCTTAAAATAGAGTCAGACTTCAGCTCCCACAAAGAATTTTAAGTTAGAAAGAAAGAGGTAGGATTATTTCCAACATCTGACTGAAAAACGTTGTTTACTGTGACCTGAAAATGACAAAAATCGGCATAGCCTGTGACATTATGTGACAGAAGGAGTGAAGATGTTCTCTAAAACAATAAAAAACAAAATTTAAAATAAAAAAGGCTTGAACCTCATTCCCTGCAGGTTTTAAAGATGACCTATGCCAAAATCTGCTTTCTGGAATTTTTTTTTTTCAAGTCTGGCTCCTGCCATCAGGTTTGGCTGGGAAGAAAAGCCTGGAAGACCGTGGCTTGGAATGTGTGATGTTAAACTCAGACAGTGTTCCCTTTATAGCAAGTAAGCCTCTGCCATGGCTGCGCACATGCTTTGAGTCAGAGACAGTGACTGGATTGGGAGAACTCAGGTTCAAGCTCCCGCCTCACGCTACCGTGAAGGAATGGCTGAGCTGATAGGTGGAAGGCCACCCAGCAATTTGGATGAAGAAAGAGTCTGGATTAGAAACTTGGAATTTCCACGTCATCCTTTAGAACTCTGCAAACCTGGTCCACAAAAGCAATGTTTTCTAAGGCTTTGAAGCCCAAAGGTGCACGTCACGTCACAGGCGTGAGGTGTGCTGGGTGTCCTCCCTGGGCACAGGGGCCAGACGTTGGACACTATAATGATCATTAACTTTCACTGGGGGCAGAGTTAGAACTTAAAATTGTCTTACCACAAGTTATTGACAACATATCCTAATCCAGATAGAGCAGGGAAGTGCTATTCCCCTAAACCCATTCATGTCAGTGGACAACAGATATAAAATGCAGTGTAAGGTCTATCTCATGTCATATCTCATGTGTCACATCCTTAGCAAATCAGCGATGATTACTCATGGGAAACAGAAGGCATTCTCTTTTACAAAACCTGAGAGCACCATGCCATATAGAGGAAGCTAAACTGGAAAAGCTATTCCCAGGAAAGAGGCAAATACAGAGCTCCCCATCACAGGGTCTTTGAGCAATGCAGATCTCTGTGCTTCAGTGGGAGGAGAATTCTCCAGAAGGACCCAGGAATGAGCATCATCAAGAACCAGAGGACATCTCTAGGCCGCCTAGAGGAGCCATGGTGGACTGAGACACAAAGTTCTCCACAATGAGTATAAACAGTGGGAGTGTGGGATCTGGGACAGTGTGCAACTCAGAAAATGATCATGGGAGAAACCAAGCCATGGTCAATGGAGCAGGAATGACCAGAAGTGCTTATCGTAAAACCAGAGCTCCACTGTATGTTATCTATAGTTTCTTGTATCTGTACATTCTAAGTTAACAATTGATAGCTTTTCTAGGGTGCTTGCACACTCATACTGTGTCTGTGGACCCCATAGAATCATATTAAAACTGTTTCTTTGTGTACTGTTAAACATAGTTATTAGGGACTTTGGGGCCCTACTCGATGAGTTAAATCTGAGTTGTAGTCACATGACTTGATCATTTGTTCTGACTGAAATCATACTTGGAAAAATCTTTTCTTCTCTTTGGTTTACCCTCTAGGAACTAAGAAGCCAACTTCACATTGTTTTAAGAGTTGTAAGAGTCCTACCATCAAAGGGACTGTACTTGTTCCCTCCTGCCCCCATGACAGTATCCTAAAAGCTTCAGCGCCAATGACTACTCTAACTTCCTTTATTCGTGCTCAATGTATACAACCCAAATCTGATGCTTTATTCATTACATTTGTTTATTTATTTCATCGTCTAACACAGGTTCATTGAACACTTTCTGTGACCTTGACTGACGATAAGTTTACCAGACAGTCCTGACACTCATAATGCTCACAGCTGACTGGGAGAATATAGACAGGAAATGTACAAACCACTCAATGCTTAGGACTGCAAGTCATAGGAAGCACTGTGAGGGAAATGAATTTCCATTCACACTGTTGGAAACCATGAGAAAGGACCAAGTTTTGACCTTTGAAAAGAACCAAGAGCTAAGACCAAAAAGATAAATTGGGGGCAGAATGGTGAGGGTGCTCTTTTGTTTGTTTGTTTTTTTTTTTTTGTTTTAAGATTCATTTATTTTAGTTTTGTGTGTATGCTTATTTTGTCAGCCAAAAGGTATGTGCACCATGAATGTGCAGTTCTTGAGGAGGCCAGAAGAGATCATTGGAGTCCCTGAAATTGGAGTTACAAAGAGTTGTGTAATGCTGGAAATGGAACCCAGGTCCATACAAGAGTGCCCAGTGCTCTTAATGGATGACCCATCTCTTTAGCCCCCAAGATGATGGGTTTTAGATAGAAACTCACAAGGAAGAACATGTCAGTGTACAAGTGAAGGATGTGAGACAAGAAATTTTATGTGTTAAGACCTGAAACACTTCAAGTGACTAGAGTGCTGTAGATAGAAAATTGACAGGAGGTGAAGCTAAAAAATTTAAATAAGCCAGATGTGGTGAAGTTTGCCTTTAATCCCAGCACTTGGGAGACAGATGCAGGTAGAACTCTGTGAGTTCAAGGCCAGACTGGTCTACAAGATGAGATCTAGGCCAGCCAGAGCTACATAGTAAGGCTCTGTCTCATTCCTGATTTTAGTGGAATGGCTTTGAGTTTCTCTCCATTTATTTTGATATTGGCTTTTGTCTTGCTATAAATTGCCTTTATTATGTTTGGGAATGTTCCTTGTATTCCTGATCTCCCTAGGACCTTTATCATGGCTTTTTGAGCATCTAATGAGATGATCATGTGTTTTTTCTTTCAGTTTGTTTATATGGTCCATTACATTGACAGATTTTCGTATGTTGAACCATCCTTGCATCCCTAGGATGAAGCCTACTTGATCATGGTGGATAATTTTTTGATGTGTTCTTGGACTCAGTTTGCCAATATTTTATTGAGTATTTTTGTATCAATGTTCATGAGGGAGATTAGTCTGTAATTCTCTCTCTTTGTTGCATCTTTGTGTGGTTTGGGTATCAGGGTAACTGTAGACTCATAGAAAGAGTTTGGCAATGTTCCTTCTGTTTCTATTGTGTGGAACAATTTGAAGAGTATTGGAATTAGCTCTTCTTTAAAATTCTGGTAGAATTCTGCGCTGAAACCATCTGATCCAGGACTTTTTTTGGTTGGGAGATGAAAGAGAGAGAGAGAGAGAGAGAGAGAGAGAGAGAGAGAGAGAGAGAGAGAGAGAG